CATCATCATTGGTATCACCACTTAGGTCTGACCTAGGCATTCGCCTTGGAGCTCAAGACCGGGTGCTCGAGCAGCACCACCTCTGATGTGGCTCATATGTTGTCGCCACCACTTTTCCACGAACCCAGCAGCAATGTGACTGCCGGTACTAGAAAAAAACAATCCAGTTGCGTCAAGTCGTTGTCCTTAATTTATATCTCACTGCCGAAGTCAACAACTGGATTAGAAGAGATTTACCCTCCCGAAGACCTTTCGATGACCATTGTTGTCATGGAGCCATAGGAAGTCGCTGCAAAACAGTTTGCAGTCGCCACCATTCGACCGATCGGATTTGAACGACCACCACAAAGCCATGGACCACAGTACCGCCAGCCGGCCACCTAGACATTCCCCACCTTTGTTAACACCATTCATCGCACGGTAGATGACAATGTCGATATGCCCCATGGTGTCGATGGAAAGTGGAGCTTCAGATCGCGACCCCTTGAAGCCGCACAGGCGACGTGCACTACCGGATTCCATCCGATTGAGAGGTCCAGGAGTGCCATGCACAAAACCGTGAAGACCTCCGGCGAAGGATTCCGGAACTCAGCGGACAGATCGAGGATGACCGGCAGCTGGAAGAGCGGCGAGTTGGACAGGAGAAGACCACTAGGGTCGCTGCACTACCATCCTTTTCCCGTCGCCGCCACCCCACACGGCCCGTCCTCCACCCCCTGCACGGCGCACAGGAAACCCCACCTCCTTAGGAGATGGGGCCTGCCGCCACCGTGGCAGAGGGCCAGCAGCATCGGCGGAAGGGGAGGCCGCAGCGGCTGGGAGCTTCGCGGCCGCGCTGGGGTTTGGCTCCTGGCGTCGCCTGGGGAGCGGCGTCTAGGAGTAATCCCTTTTTTTCAGATAAGCCTCACCACTAGGACCATCGGCACATAGATTTACTAGGCATATTAATGTTTGATTGTGTGTTGTAGTGCAAACCCGAAAGGGTGTTCCATAACCTTCAAAAAAATTTGTTCCTAAATGATGCTGCATTGCCTCTCCATGAGTTTGAAAATTTCAATCTAGATTTTGAATCTTGTTCTCAACTACAGGTTATTATACTATCTTGAGGCAACTTTTCAGCACATTCGAAATCAGTTATGTCATATTTTTATTAACAGGGTGTTGGAAGGTGAAATTGTATACGGATAATAAGGTGTTGGATCGCAAAGCATTCTTTTGGTCATGCCAATGCCATCTTGAACATTGCCATTTAGAAATTGGAGCCTCTGTGTCTCTGATGAAACTAGTATTTTCATGTAGGTTTCATAGGAGTTTTAATTTCTGAGGATCAGCAAACTACATGCTGTTATGGGTGAAATCCGAATCGGCTGTGCCAATTATTTTTTCCAGATGTATGACAGAGTTTTTGAGACTATATATGCCATTCCTAGCTAGGTTCTGATTTTTTTTTCACAACTACAAAGAATTGTGAGAGGATTTTCAAGTTCGTTTTTCACACGGAGCAAAACAAGCAACTGTGGAAATAAAATAAGATCAGGATCCTTCAGCTGGAAGCCAGATCAGATCACACCTTGTACTGATTCGTAATTGGAATGAAATTTTCTCAAAAAAAAAAAGTCTCGGAATGCGTTTATATAATGACCAGTGTGCCATTGCTATTTTATTTTGCTATGAGCGAAAGGTTGGTTTTGTTTGGAGTTTTGCCAATCTGTTTGGTACACCATGAGACCAATATTCTTTTATCAACTCTTTCATTTTTCTCGCCAATGTTCAGCAATTTTTTTTACTATCAAACTAAAGTTTGGTCGGCGGCAGCATAAATCAAACACACCATTGGTCTCTTATGCATATCGGGCCATCCCATGGTTCGTGCAAATCCGTGGAGATATCTTTGTTTTTCTGGGTCAGTTTTGATGCATATGGATTGCAGAGTTGTACTTAGTACTCCTACGTTGTATTGCCGTACAAAAACCAAAAAGTTGACAGTTGACAGTTGTAGATTGTTACGGTTGCGGTCGTGCATCCTGAGACCACATTTACGCCTTGGCTAGTTCGCTTCCGGCCCGGCCCGGCCCATTCATCTCTCTGTCCCCTGTCCGTTCGTCTCGCCTCCAGCGCCGACCCCGAAGGCAGATCGCCCGCTCCCAATCTCCACTGCCTCCACCCGCTGAGCTTGCTTTCTCTACAGGACCCACTCCCACCCCCGTTGCCCGAAGCGGCGTAGTGATTCGGGCGACCAGATATGCGGCGGCCTTCGGCGAGGTAATCCCAAGTCCCCATTCTCCCCTCTGATTGCCTTCTATACCCTAGCTCTAGGTCTTCGTGAGAACATGGATTGCAGTCCTGGGGTTTGAGGATGAAGTGGGGGAGAAATCGATCTGCGCCTCTTTCAGTAGCTGCGTCTGCGTCAAATAGGGTAGGGTAGTTTGGCTGGTCTGTACTGTTATCTTATCTCCCCCGGGAGTCTTCCAGAGTTTCGGCTGCTGCGTTCCCTCCTCAGCAATACTTTGACTTGGGATTAGTCGAGGTCTTGCGTGCTCGGTCGAGACGATGAGTTTCCACATGCCTCCCATTCGTATTGCATAATGGGTTGCATCGATCCAACCCATGATTTACTTCACTGTGTTCTCTCGCTCGGGGTAACATTGTTAGGGACTAAGAAGAAGAATGCATACACATGGCCTCGCCCTTTTGTAAGTGTTGGTGTGCACATTAGTTATCCTTCCATTAATTTTGGGAGAGTCATGGAATCTGCTTCGTACCGATGCCTTAACTGCCCTTTCTCAAAACAGGTTTAACTACATGTATGTGCTCTGCTCCATTGTCTCTGGCTAACCCTGTCCTCTAACCTGAACATTGAGTTGCTAAGAGCATCTCTAGCAAACCCCACAAAAATCCCCCGACCCGCAAAATTCCCGCGAGTATACGGGCTCGGCCCGATTTTCTGGCCAGAACAGAGTCTATATACTTGCCTGGCCCGTAAAAGAATTTATCGCGGCCCGCAAACCGCTCGCCCCAACTAGTATATCTATGGGTTCTCGACGCGTTTGCGGGTCGAAACCCTATCCCCTGCCGCCGCCTCGTCGCGCAATTCCCCACTCCCTACCGCACATTTCTCGCCGCCGGCGAGCCCCTTCCGCCTCCATCCGCCATGTGGGGTCGCATGTGGAGCTCGGACGCGGCTCCGGGAGCAGATCCGGCGGCGGCAGCGACCCTGAGCGCGAGCGGCGCGTCCGGTCGGATGACGCGATGAAGTGTGGGGCGAGGAAGTGGACCAACCGCGGCCTCTCGCCGCCGCCGAGCTTCTGTGTCCGGGAGACGGACTAATACGACCGTCGGCACGGCCGTACGCCGTCCTCGGCCGCGGGCTCGTCCTCGGCGGCAAGATCTTCCTCCTACGCCGGGAGCTCCTCCTCGACCGTCGGCAATATATGTAGTATGTGATGAACTACTATGGTGCAATTCCTCCCGCGAATCTGTTTTTTTCAAATTATGCAATTTCATCTACGGTTTCTGATCGGCCGCACTCGTTCTCGACCCGCAAACGAGATTTACGTTGAACTGCAAACGCGTTTTGCGAGTCGGGGTTTTGCAGGGTCTGCTAGAGTTGCTCTAAGCTTGTGGGAGACCGTGTGTTCAGAGCGTGTACTAAAAACCAGAAACATGCTTATTGTTATAGCCTCGTACCTCATCTGATATTTGTGCACGGAACGAACTGCTCCGATCTTGAGCGACACCACCTCTCGCCCCTTGCATTTGCAGCTTGCCTTGAGGATTGCAAATGATACGATACACATGTTTGCCTTGACAGAATAGCCTACTGCTATCTTTCTTGTCTGTAGTCTAATTTCTACTTGTTCCCTGCTAGGTTGTAAATCTTATCGGTGTTTCAATTAACTTCAAAGTGAAATCAACATACCAATGGAATATCCCAACATCACAGTGCTTCAATTCGATGGTTTCTTCATCCGAGGAAAATAAAGAAGGTTGTGCCGCACCAAGGTGCTGTGGTGGGTCTTGCTGCAGTTCCATGCTAGTTAGGTTGAACTTGTGCTTAGAATTCC